TCAACGGGATTCGAACCCATGACCTCTGCGGTGCCGGTGCAGTGCTCTGACCACTGAGCTATGAAGTCATTTCACGAGAAAACATGAGCCCAACAATATTGACCTGCTCACCACTGTGTGACTTCATAGCTCAGTGGTCAGAGCACTGCACCGGCACCGCAGAGGTCATGGGCTCGAATCCCGTTGAGTCACCTGATTTTTTCAGGTCCTGAGACGATTGCTTAAATTGTCCAGCTAAGTGCGAAGATCATATCTCATTTAATTTCAAACACCGCACTGCACAAAACATTCATATAACCAATCATATAGTCACCATAGTGTGCCAACCAATCATATAGTCACTATAGGGTATCAACCAATCATATAGTCACCATAGTGTATCAACCACAGATCTAATAATACACTACATAGTGCAACTGACATTCAAGTTGAAGCCGGGCAAATTTACTTCCGGAGCCCCAAAGTAGTGAGAATCAATATGGCGTTGTATTAGAAAATATGTGGTCCAAGTTAATATCTCGCAATTATTAGCAAATCGCGAAGGTTGCATCAACTTTTTTGCACTATTTATTAAATAAATCATTGTGACTATAGTTTTTAGAAAAAAATTGCAGAATACGCCAATACATCGCCGTTAAATTGATTTCAAGTGTAGTTCGATTTGAAAGCATCAGCAGCGACGAAGGCTTAAGATACTGGAATTTGCACATCTAAATATCATATCACAGCACAATCTGCGATAGTGTGGCTTAGTTCGTTTGGAAAATACAGCGATATCATACTCGATCTATGGATGTATTGTGCTGATTGATGTACAACAAGCATAACGATGAGCGGTATGAAATCTTTTTCAATATATTATTCTGTTTGATTGTTCCGTCAAAATTACATTATACTTTGCGTTAAATATTTACACTGTTTCAAATAAAGATGTTAGCTAAACTGTACAAGTAACACAACGTATAATATAATACATAACTGCTGTTGTAATACATAACTGCTCTTAAGAAGCAAGGTCGTTTCGCACGTCTGCAATGCAAATATTTTTGTGTTCATTGACTGAAACATTATTGAATGGAATTAATTTTCTAAAGAAAATAATAACTTCCAAAAATTAGTTTTGTAGAAGTAAAAAATTCCAGCAGTCTTCGCTGCTTTAAAACTGATTTATAACTTTTTGATTAGTCCAATAAAAAGTATGCTTAGGTGGATTTTATGTAGCTATTAGATGCATGTATTGAGTATTTCTTTAAACCAGTTAAATACATCTAATTATGTATATACACAAGCTCCAGAGGCAGCAATAGTGAAAATAATTATCGTCTTCAAGTAGCATGTAAACACCTTTAAATCAACAATTTTTAATTCAAGAGAATTTATTGGTAGTTTCAAGACTATCCAACAGATTTCAGCTATGTCATTACTGACCTGATCATCTGAAATTACAAATGTAATTTATAAAACCTGGGAATTTTTTTGCAAGAAACATATTTTTCTATTCTAAATACAAAATTTAGACTATTCACATATTTTAATAGAACAGGCATATTACAAAAATCAGTCAGAAATTGACACAGGTTACAAGCACAAATTAAATATTTTGCTCAGAATAAATAATTTAGGTTTGATATTTTCAATAACAACACTGTGTAGAAAGTTTTATATGCATATACATGACTGAATGGTAAAAAAAGACAATAAAAATGTTCAAAACAGTAGCATAACATCACCATAACAGTACATTAAGCACTGTGGGCAGTGGCCATATATACTACTGCTTTAGACTATGACAATACATTGCTTATATATATGTGTAAAACACAGTCAAGACTACAAGTCTGGGGACTCTTCTTGCTTTAATAAGTAAATATTTTGCCCGTGTTGGACAGAGTGTTATGTATCAACCTGTGGTATCAATAGTTTCACAAGTGACCTGCTATATTATATTTCACAAAAAATTTGGTGTAACAGAGGTAGACTCTTCATATTTTTTCAGTAAATAAATTTCTGAACGTATTAATTACTCACATCTTGACATAGCTATTCGTTTGCCGACCAGAAACACCAGAAAAATGCATTTCTGGTACAATAATCCAGTGCAATATTCAATTATATACAGTGAACAATATACTTTATATAAATCGTGAAAAATCTTTCAAACTGTAATCTCCAACTCGTTTTATATGACAATAAATATTGGAAGATAATTCCACGACGTTCGATTGAATATTTTGTGGCAGATTGTGCTGTTATATGATATTTAGATGTGGAAATTCCAGTATCTTAAGCCTTCGTCGCTGCTGATGCTTTCAAATCGAGCTACACTTGAAATCAATTTTACGGCGATGTATTGGCGTATTCTGCTATCTTTTTCTTGAAAAACTATGGTCACATTGATTTTTTTCATTAATAGAGTAAACCAGTTTATGTAACCGTCGTGACTTGCAAGTAATTGCAAGATATCAGCTTTGACCAAATATTTTCTAATACAACGCCATATTGATTCTCACTACTTTGGGGCTCCGGAAGTAAATTTGCCCGGCTTCAACCACTACTTATTAAATGTAATCCGTTGCACTATCTAGTGTATTTTTAGATCTGTGGTATCAACCAATCATATAGTCACCATAGTGTATCAACCAATCATATAATCACCATAGTGTATGAACCAATCATATAGTCACCATAGTGTATCAACCAATCATATAATCACCCTAGTGTATCAACCAATCATATAGTTGAGAGTGCTAGGAGCATTGTGTTTGGCTGTAGACTAGAGATCAACGAAAAAAAAAGAAATGGGTTGGAAGCAACGACACAAGATTTTACAAAACAAGAAAAATGCATATGATCGCCAAACACATCCTTCTCTACTATAGTTTGTTGTTAATCTTTCTCTTTGTTTTTCAACACTGGCTGGAACACCCACCAAAAGATTGACCTAGGTAGTCGGTACCAAACTTTTGTAACATTAAGCGCTGTTAACATTTACATCTCGTTCGAATTATGATTTGATTTAAGGAAAATATCAACTTGTTACAAATACAAAAATACAGAATATCATTCAGAGACTCTAGACTCTAGATATGAAAAACGTAGCCAACACTATAACGAGTGTCTCCGATTCATTAGTTTTCATTAGTTGGAACACACACCAACGATTATGATGTACGAGCTTTCACTTCATAAGAATATGAGCAGAAGACCATCAAGTAAAACAGTTTCTTCTCGTCATGTAATATCAAGTAGTCTATTGATACTTTCAAGTAATCACGTGTTATTTATAGTTGGGCTGCTTTTTATGTCCACCTCCTGTTTACTTAATGTTTATTACGTTCGTCTTTGTCATTCATTTTTTTCTAATAGACGGTGGAAATGATGGAGCTTTTACTGATGCAGTTGATCTCCTGATTGGATTTTATTCTTGTCGTATTGGCTGTTCGTTAGGATCAATCTAAACTCTTGTACTCGAACGTGCAGTAAAATGCGTATTGAAGTTATTCGACGACTACTGACAGCATTTGATGAGAGCGAATTCTTGACTTGCATTTAGCCATGTTGGCGGTATAATAGAAAAGAATATTTTATCAGTGTTATTGTTGGCACCAGCCGACTTGTGCGAGCAACATTGTTTGGTAAATCCCAAGAGAATGGTTGCAAGTCAAGAATAGCTCTGAATTTAAATATAAGTTAAAATTATCAAATGCTCAAAGGAAACACCCTGTAACGACTGCTCACTTTCATGTCTCAATATATTGGTTAGTTTAACAACCGCTTGCTTTGTTCATTCAAATTATTTTAGAATGATTGTTATTTCTATAGAAAAAATAAAGAACTTAGCTTTTAGAAAGGAAAATCACAACTCAACTTCTTGTTACAATATGTTTATCAATATGTTCTCTTTGTTATTATCAATGGGTATCACAAAATTAGACTCCTGTGTATACGTAGGCAATGGATGTACGATTTTGCATTGTAGAAGATGGTTTGTATTTTGGAATCATCAGAATATTCTAACCCACTATGAGAAAACTCAAGTACTACGGTAGCTCTTACCAAGTGTCGTGATTTGACTGCAAATGCTAGTTAACGTTGTGCTTCGGCTTAGATTGGTGATCAACGGAAAAGAAGAAATGGCTGAGAATCAATGACAGAAGATTTTACAAGATGTACAAATCGGGAGGCGCAATTGCCCAACTGGTTTCAATTTTTGGCTTCAGCTTTCATTCCAGTTATTAAAATATTTAGTTCAATGGTTCACTGATGTCATGTAATATGGCAGATCGTAAAAAATTGGATATTGTTGTGTTTACGGACTAAATTTTGTCATAAAAAAGGTATTGAATTCCTTTTCAATATTAATTGTCAGTTCTTAAATATTTCATTCTATTTTTGTTCACTTTGTACTTTGTTTGCGTTAATTTGACCTTTTGAAATTTAAAATAATTGCTCACCATGTTTTGTAACAAAGCCAATTGACAAAAGCTTAGCAGACGGCAAAATATTCTCCTTGTCTGTATTTGTGTGCTATTCGTATTCTTCCTTTTGTTTTTTGCTGTTGCGGCAACCAATTTAATTAAAACTATACGTTACAGTTTCTTCAAATGACCATTATTGAAATAAATTAAGGTGGTCACCCCCTCTTGTCAGATGAATTTTTAAAAATTTTTCCGAAAATTTTTTTTGGTCATTTTTGGCACTTTAAGTATTGTAGTTTAAGTCTGCAGTGTTGATTTTCTTTAAAAAATAATACTCCGTGAGAAAAATGCCCTCAAACATACCTTATCAAAGAAATTAACCCTTAGCAACGCCTTAGCAGCGCATTTAGGTACCAAAATCGTGAAAAATTTTGACCAAAATCCATTTTTAACCATTATTTTTTGGTTTGTCCTTTTGGCGTATGTAATTTCAAGTCTTTTGATGAATGTTGCTCCGTGATTGGTTGCTTTTTCTAGCCTTGGTTGGCCTTGGCAACGCTATGACTTTGTCTGCCATGTAACAGTTCGCATATACACGCTTCTCAAAGCCATCTACGAAAATCTTAGTTTTCTCTTACATTTCACGTTAAGAAAGAGCTGTTTTAGTTTCTATATAAATTCTATTTGTTTTTTTTTATTTTATTTTCAAAAATAAATGGGAAATCTTAAAAACAGAAAGAGAAAACGGCCTAGAATTTCTCCTAAGAATACGACGAAGAGATTAAAAGATGGCGCACCTCGTGATCTAACAGCCGGTAAAAAATTGGATATTGTTGTGTTTACGGACTAAATTTTGTCATAAAAAAGGTATTGAATTCCTTTTCAATATTAATTGTCAGTTCTTAAATATTTCATTGCAATTTTGTTCACTTTGTACTTCGTTTGCGTTAATTTGACCTTTTGAAATTTAAATTAATTGCTCAACTTGTTTGAGACAAAGCCGATTGACAAAAGCTTAGCAGACGGCAAAATATTCTCCTTGTCTGTACTTGTTTGTGTGCTATTCGTATTCTTCCTTTTGTTTTTTGCTGAAGCGGTATCTAATTAAACATAGAATTATACGTTGCAGTTTCTCTAAATTACAATTATACGAATACATTCAAAAACAAAGAAATGATAGGCAATTTGATATGTAGATCAAAAAGTTTTTCGTATTATGATCTGTTGTTTTATATTTGATGTCTTCAAGAAGTGAATCATAGAATTGAATTTCAGATATCAAAATTGCGAGTCGCCTTTATCTGATATGAATTATGTAAAAGTAATAATATATTGTTGTCTTGTGATTAGTGTCCTCCAAAAAGTAATTTGATGTTGAAACTTATATCATTATGTGTTCCAGTCTTCGTGTAGAGTGATTTTTTGTATAATTACAATGGTTGTATAGCTCTATATAAAAAAATTAAAGTCACAAGTAATCCAGTTCAGTGCCTTCATTCCATAATATTCACTTTTATAATTGTGTGAGGATAGTATTTTGTGCAACTGATCTTTTGATACTTCTTTGTCATACTAATACACCATTTGCTCATCATTAAAAAAATCAATTACAAGGCTTAGAATTAACTGCAAAAAAATAATAAAATATTCACTATTTTTATAGAAAAATCAGGAACACATGTCTATAATCAAAGCGTTTCTATATGAGAAAAGTCAGTATCATTCGGATAAAAAAAAATTGTATAAACATATTTAAATCTCTGCTTTAGATAATTTGTTGCAAATAAATCACTACACTTCTCTTTCATACAAAGTTTTTAATGTATATGTTTATTCAGTAGCGTAGCCAGCCCGACTTTGCTCTCGCTATGCAAATACTTTTCGCATTTAATAAATACGACGAGTTTTTTTACAATAAATGTGTTTAAACATCTCATGATGGAATCTTCAGTATAATAAGAATATTACGTATATGCATAATAATTTTATATAAGAGTAATATGATGCAGTTATACAATTATCAGTAGATAATAAATATTACAATGAAATACTGGTTGGAACTAATTTATGAGTGTATTTACAGGCTGAATATAGTGTTAAAACAAAAAACGTGAACGTTGCGATTACGATTAGTTTTGTTAATGTGAAATCCTTTTAAAAAAACTCGTCGTATTTAATAAATGCACAATATCAATAGTGTTTTTACGCAGTTGCGGCAAATATTTTTGTGTTTATTGACCGTAAGAAAAATAGATTAATAAAAGAAGTACTTCTAGTGTATTAACTTTTAATTAGACAAATTAAAAGTTAATTTGTGATTACCAAATTTATTATCGGTAATGGAACCTATATTGCTGTCTCAAATCTTGTCGACCGAGTCATAATTGTCCAAGCGATGAATTCGTTCCAATGTATCAAGCTGATCCGCAATAGACGCCCGCAGTTCGTCGAAACGGCGGTAAGCTGGTCTTTTTAATTCTTATGAAGCCCCAATTGCACCAACACCGAGCGCTATTCTCATTTATGAACTATGCAGCCTCTACTAAACAGACCATAAAAAATTCGTTGTTTTGACATTGTATATATCAACACTTTGACACATTTACAATCATCATATGTTGTATGGATATTGCCGAATTTCAACTTTATATTTGTGCTTGTATACGAACTTTGCTATCAGTATGGTAGCCTAACTGCATGTTTGGTCCTGCTATGTAGGTCGTGCTATGTAAATCATCAGCAATATTTATTTCTTTAGAAATCTGTTGTGTAATAGTTGGTCAACATTATTTACATATCAGTACAAATTTGCCTGCTGGCTTTGCTAGTGGCTGCTCGGCTGTTTTCGTTGCTGATTTTTGTTTGTTTTTTGAGAGTAGAAGTTTTTAGTTTGATAATAAACTTATGCCTGGATGGATAGGCGCCGACCTCCCCTCTGATATTTATTTTACTGAAGGTCTTTTTATATGAGTTTTGATAAGTTTATTTAATTTAAACGGTGCGTAATTTATGTAAATACCATATTCCAGGTATCCCCCCCCCCCTTTAAAAAAAAGAATTCTGCCGGCGCCACTGTCTGATGGCCGTTTGTCAAACATCAACAATAGTTTCGAAACAGAATATTTCTGGAAACATACACATTGAATTTTGTTTAGCTCGACCAACACTTGGTGATGTACTTAGTTTTTTGATTATTTCTATAACATTTTTATTATTTAGGATCAATTCAAACTATGCTACCATGCAGTGAACTGCGTATTGGAGTTGTCCACGACTACTCAAATGTCTCGGAAATAGGTAGAAATTGAATTTTTATACTGTACAAATTTCTGGAAAAATTTTTTAGATGTTTGCTAGAATGTTACATGTCCTTCAATTTTGTCTTCCATGAAAAAATGGAATTCAATATAAAAAACTTTTAAATATTTACTTTAGTTTTAACAAGGAGAGTCCAGGTTAAGTATCGTTATATGTTTGTAGATGTAGATCGTCCAAGTTAGTAAAATCCTGAAAAAGACTGTTGGTGTTAATATTGACTGAGATTTTGACATCGTTGACTGTAAAGTACGGTGGCCCATAAGGGACACGACTTCTTCATACAAAACGTACGTCCAGTTTCTCCGTAGAAATCGACCTTCTCCGTAGAAATAGACCTTCTCCGTAGAAATCGACTTTCTCCGTAGAAATCGACCTTCTCCGTAAAAATCGACCTTCTCCGTAGAAATCGACTTTCTCCGTAGAAATCGACATTCTCCGTAGAAATCAACTTTCTCCGTAGAAATGGACCTTCTCCGTAGAAATGGACCTTCTCCGTAGAAATGGACCTTCTCCGTAGAAATGGACCTTCTCCGTAGAAATGGACCTTCTCCGTAGAAATACACCTTCTCCGTAGAAATGGCAAATACCGGCTCTAGATGTCAAATATATCAAATTCTAACAATTCAAAACGTTTTTGAACAAAACAATTAAATATGAACTTAACTAATAACTAATAATGCGGTTGTTACCATTAAAAATTATGAATTTTTTTACGGTTAACACTCCCGTTGATTGCTATTCCCCTGTAAATGATAAAATACAATTATCATTTTTAAATGAAGCCAAATCCCTTTCCTTCGATAAGTGCAGAGTCAATTGCCTCTTTTACTTGGTTGTAACTATCTCTATAATGAACAGGCAATGTAATGCTTAGATCACAAGTTGAAGCAGTTGAACGACACTTGCACCCTTCTGTACATCCATGCTTGAATTTAACCGTTATGGGTTTTGGTAATCCTAATGGTGGAAGTTGCTCGCATCCAGTTATGAATTTGTGCAACATGCACAAGGTGTTAGTGGCATGCGTCCCTAGAAAAAAAAACTCAATCGATTCAAATTTCAAATCTCATTTTGAACTTACAAAAATCGTCAGGCAGTGGTATTAAATGAAATCGGGCAAGTATGTCACTCAAGTTATCAATTATAAAATTGATCAATTCATGGAAGTCTAATATTGAGTTAAGAGTTTGAATGAAATGGCAATTTTTTCAGGTTGTGAACAGGAGTAGAATATTGGAAGATCTTTTTTTACATTATACATCAAGTATGTTATATTTGCAACACAGCAGATATACCTTGGAAAGCATTGGAATCCTGCAAGAAATCGAGAAAGAATTTATAAACATCAACTTCTGCCATTTTGCAATTGCTTCCTTCTTCACTAATTTCAGGTGTCATCCCATCTAACAGCTGATTGGCAGAAGGCAAAAAAAAAGAACAGTCCGCAACAAATAGTGCCTTCATTGCTGCCTTTTCTTCTTTCATTGCTTTCATCACATTGAACAAACTTAATCCAATCATAAGCTGGTCCAGCATAGGCAGGAAACGTGAAAATCATACATTACAATTGCTCTAAAAATGGCAACAGTGCATTAGAAACTTCACTAATTAATGCTTATTCCTAAACACAGAAAATGGCAAGAATTCGTGAGTGTGTCGGGGACCACGTATTATCTTAACTTAAAAGTCAAACATCAAATACAATTTATTAACAGTGTCTGGGATGGTTTAATATGTACTTTATTAAAAATATGAAATTGAAAATTACTTTCGTTTAGTTAAAATTCTTAATAGAGATTGTCGTGCTCAAAGGGTAGTAAAAATCATATAAGAGAAAAACTCTTTGAGATCGTATTTGTCACAATCACTAAGCCAAGTTAAAGTCAAACAAAAAGAAGTTGGCCCTTAAAGGGTTAATGACTTACATTATGCAGAATTTGTAATTCATTTCGTTTTTAAAGATTTAAACATAGCGTACCTTAAGATGTTTTTAGCAGATTGTAATGATTCTCTTGATGGAACTCCCCTGTACTGAATCTGTTGCAAAACATGCAACATGGCGTCTTCTTGCAACACACTTTGTAAATGTTCGTCGGTTGAACAATTTGTTATCTGTACGCCAATAAAAATTAATTTCATAAAACACTTAGAATTCATGACCATCATAACCATTGTGTTTTAACATGAGAGAATGCTTTTCAGTTTTACCTTCTCTATAGCTTCAACAAGCGTACTATCCTTGAGTTCTGGAGTCCATCCTTCAGTTGTTATACTTGAAATACCTTCAGTCATATACGCATAAACTTTGTCTGAAAAGAAACACGGTGCTGGTCCACCTTGCACAATTGAACTAGCCATCAGTTGACCTGCTACTTTGAACTTGTCACCCTCAAGCGCTGCCATGTCAGGTAAAGGCATCCCATTATCAAACAGTTGTTGTTGAATAATTTGAAGAACCTCTACAAATATAAAACAAAAATTTTAGTGAGTAATATATTGACAGCAACGAATATGCAAATTGATTCATTTTATTTGCAGGTCTGGTAAGCAACTGAAACATGTATACCAGAAAAAATTCACGACGAGGTCCGCCATCATCAATTGCAGGCTCTCCAACAAATGTTACTTTCAGCAACTGCTTGTTATTGAACCATTGTTTCTTTGAAATTTCCAAATAGTCTTTGAAAACTGATTTTCGCCTCACATTAATTCGGATTTTAATAGGGTTCACATGTTCAGCAAGCTCAGCTATCAAATCTTTCATCTTCTTTTTCATTTCGACCGGATTCACATTACTATCATCACATGTTTCAGAAAAATCATCATTTTCGACAGATGTATCAAAAGGATCATCTTTTATTGATCCAATTGTGTCTATCCACTTGTCAGCACAAATGTCTGCATTTGCCTCAATTTCATTAAAGGAAAACATGCAAAAACAAGTTGGACATGATGTTTCTGCAGATGACAGAGGAGATTTTTTGTCATCATCATCACTTATATCAATAAAGCTTTTTAATTTTGTTGCTTCCTTTTTCTCACTATCTTGAGTGACCACCATTTCATTGCAAGTATCAGAAATTTTAGTTAAACTTTCCAGTTGTATTATCTCTGTTTTTTCATTATTTTGAGCATCATAGTCATACTCATCAGAGTCTGAATCTGGAAAATCTTGGACTCTGTCCAAATCTATTGTAGCACACAGATAAAAATATATTTTTGAGTAGGGTTTTCCTAATTCCTGTTTGTACTCACTCAATGCAAACTGTGCTGCACTGCCAGGTAACTTCTGTACAATAGAATGGTCTGGATAGAGAAGAGTGTAGGAAGTATACTTATTGAACTGTCTAAAATGCTTCGAATGTTTATTTATTGCAGCCTTCATTAAGTCAGCTGCATTACATTGAGATGAGACAATTAGGGGTAGTGTTCTTCCCTTCAACCTTTTTAACCTTTTCTCTTCAGCTTCTACGACACCAACTTGAATTTTAAAATCTTCGTGATTAGAAAAATTTGAAAAGGAAGTATTGGTGGTATGTAATGTAAATGCATCAAAGAGAAATATGTGTATAAATGCATGTTAAAATTACTAGCCTTTCGCAAAATTTTCCCTATTAACATGTAAAATGAAAATACATTATAAAGTTTTTCAGAATCTTTTACATAACCACAATAATATTTACGCACAATTAATATCCACAATTCATAATTGACGATTCTATTGATTCTATAATACAAAAAATTTAAGAAGAAACGTTTTACTACCTGCAGATGTCGGTTTCCCGCAATTATGACAGTATTTTGCTGCCTCATTAGCAAATTCCGTGCCACATTCGCTACAAAAACGCGCCATTTAAAGGCCTCACTTTCGCTATACAAGTTTCACTTTGTGGTTTCCGCCGCCATTTTGACTTGTTAGAATTTGATATATTTGACATCTAGAAACGTTTTACTACCTGCAGATGTCGGTTTCCCGCAATTATGACAGTATTTTGCTGCCTCATTAGCAAATTCCGTGCCACATTCGCTACAAAAACGCGCCATTTAAAGGCCTCACTTTCGCTATACAAGTTTCACTTTGTGGTTTCCGCCGCCATTTTGACTTGTTAGAATTTGATATATTTGACATCTAGAGCCGGTATTTGCCATTTCTACGGAGAAGGTCTATTTCTACGGAGAAGATCGATTTCTACGGAGAAGGTCGATTTCTACGGAGAAGGTCTATTTCTACGGAGAAGGTCGATTTCTGCGGGGAAGGTCGATTTCTACGGAGAAGGTCGATTTCTACGGAGAAGATCGATTTCTACGGGGAAGGTCGATTTCTACGGAGAAGGTCAATTTCTACGGAGAAGATCGATTTCTACGGGAAGGTCGATTTCTACGGCGAAGGTCGATTTCTACGGAGAAGGTCTATTTCTACGGAGAAGGTCGATTTCTACGGAGAAGGTCTATTTCTACGGGAAGGTCGATTTCTACGGAGAAGGTCGATTTCTACGGAGAAGGTCTATTTCTACGGAGGTCTATTTCTACGGAGAAGGTCGATTTCTACCGAGAAGGTCGATTTCTACGGAGAAGGTCGATTTCTCCGTAGAAACTGGACGTACGTTTTGGATAAAGAAGTCGTGTCCCTTATGGGCCACCGTAGTAAAGATGACTACCGCTAAGGTTGTCGAAACGTAAGTTAAAATCAACAACAACAGTCCATCTCAGGACTCTACTAAAGTGGATAATCAACATGTGTAAACATGTAGAGTCCAGGATGTTCGGAAACCTGGTGAGAGTGAATAATTCTGATTAGGATTTAAAAGCAATTTGGAACATAACATAGCAGTGACGTAGCCAGCCCGCAAGTTTGGTCGTTATATGTAAATTTTTCAGTGCTCACTTACTGTAAAAACTGTAGATTTCTAAAAAAAGAATAATGATAATGATCTAAAATTTACATAGCACGATCAAATTTGAGGGCTGACTACGAATTTTGTCAATATTTTAAATAGTACAACATCAGTAATTTTTTTTTATTTGAATATATTAAACTTAGTACCAAGAACAAAACTTGAATATATTAAACAAAAAGCAAATCAAGATTAATCGCGAGTTCGAAACAAACAATCCATGTCGGCCGTTGCCTCATAGCGGCCGTTGCCGTTGAACTTTCGAGAAATACTTGCTGTAATAAGTTTCCCGTTTATCTTTTGGAAATATCCAATATTTGACCAATGTAAACAACCAAAAGCAACAGGTTTGGTAAACAGGTTTATTGGATTCAGTCGTGACAAAAAATGACATCGTTATCATAAAATTCATTTTTTTGCTGCCTAGTTTATGTAGATTAAAAATGTCGATGTAGGAAGCATGAAGTGGACGGGCTGACATAAATAGTAGATTTTAGTTCGTATTACTTCGTATTTTGTTTGTATTCTTTCGAGTGATATCACTCTATATGGATTATTTAAGGACTCAAGATTCTATATCATGACAGATTATAAAAACCTGATAATAAAATGTACAACGAGTGAAATAGTAATAAATGTTAATAACTAATAATACATTTATGTTTATAATTTTTAAATGACATCAATTAAGGGTGGATGAGACGTGTAATCAACTACGCGCCACAGAAAAATATAGCCCCCACCGAAAATTAATCACGATTTGGCAGAAATTTTACCTAAAGTGGAAGGTTAAAAAGAACTGCTGAAGTCAAATGAGCTGTCATTGTTGTGTGCAGGTCAGGTATATGGAGTGCGCGTTCATTTAACGTCTCACATAACCACACGGATATTGAAGCTTTCCTTTTTTCGTGTACGTGGGAGGGGAGGGTGAGAACTGTGCAACAAACTTTAATCCTTATGTTTTCAAAGTCAATTTTAATTGAAACTGAGGTATTCTTAATTCGATCTGTTATTATGATGAAAATTATTTTTTATTTCAGTCGTGGTTGTATTTGATATCTCTAATCTTGCAGATCACGTTAATCTGTCCAAGTGGTTGATGTATTTTAGTGCATCTAATTGCTGCGTTGCTCTCTGGATCAGCGGTAAGTAATCTCGTTTATAGCAAAAATATAAGCGTAAATTTTTCAGCATGCAAGCAAGAATATGACTCTTTACAATCACACGATTCTCCATAATGTTGTAGATAAAGATTGAAATTGTTAGTCTACGTATGTAAACTACATACAATCTTACATCAATGAGATCTCCAATTCAGCAACCCGTTTTTCAAACTTTGTCAATTCAGATGCAACAAATCACATTGAAATATCGCAAGCGTAACTTCCGGTGAAACAACGCACTTTAATTGGTTCAGAAACATTTTTCCATGTTCTTTACTCTTTCATAATGCACCAGTAGTCCATTACATGTATATTTTCAAATAAACGTAAACAAACTTCGTGAAGCAAATAGCAAAACCCAAAAAAAAACAAAACAAAAACCATATAAGAATGTGAGTCGAAGAAAGAACACTTGTAAAGTGAGTTTTATTATCTAGACAAAAT